GATTCCTTTTGCGGTGGAGTTTCTGCCTATCGCTGTAGACAACGACCGATCGGGTATACGCAACCCATGCGGTAAAAGTCTAAGCTCTCACTCAGGCACTTTGTGCATAGCGGAGCACAAAGTGCCCTAGGATGAATCGCTAATTAAAAGGGACTTTGTAAACAACGCCAGCAACCTCACTCAGTTTCATGGGTGGGTGTTCTTTTTCCTCGCTACGCTCTAAAAGGAGGGAAGCACATTTGCAAAACTTTACACATTTTGTCTCATTTCAAACACAAATTTGGAGCGTGGTCGATGGGCGAGCCAGTGGCGCGGCTAATAGCGCTGCCAGCTCGGCTGCCAGCCTGTACTGCTATCGGACCAACACGACACCTCAGCTCAGCGTGCCTCTGCGGTGCGGTGCGGCGTGGCCCGCCCGGGGAAAGGATAGGGGGAGGGGGGGCCGAAATCAATTCCATTTCCCGCGTAAGCTGTTGCGACATGGGGCTGCTTTCAGCACACTCACTTTCAGTCTGTGAGGTGAGCTTGCTCTCTCCCGCATCCCTCCCCCCTTTCTCTCTGTCCGCCTGCCTCCTTTCCGGGAGTAGGACAGCCTTCCGAAGCATCATCTGTCTGCTCTTACTCCCCCGCCCCTTCTCTCTGGGATATAACTTAATATCGTAGCGGCAGGACACGTAGCCACGCGCTTCCGAACATAAAGAGAATAAAAACAACATCGTCAAGCGAGCGAGAGCGTCGACGCCATACTCGCCAAAACTTTCGACGCGCTTGAAAAAGTTTAATAATTACTCCGTTTTTTGCCCCCCCCCCACCCCCCGCCCCTTTTCACGTTTGTGTTTTACTTCCCCCACCGCTCTAACTTTCTGTTACAAGGTCCGATAGGAGGTCGAACGGCATTAAATGTCACGAGAGACACGCGCACGATATAGTTCAGTCACGCGGCCTTCGGTTACACTCAAAATAATGTCATGTTAAAAAAATCACTCACCAAAAATTCCCGCTTTCTTCATCAACTTTTTCTTGGACAAGATTTTCATCGCCTGTAAAGAAAAGTGAAAAACCACGGATAAAAACACAGGAGACAATGTATCAAATTCGATATAAAATTAGACAGTAATCTAAAACAAACAACAACATAATTTGCATGTTAACATTTCAGCACCCCCGGCACCCGCTAGAAAACAGGACGTGGTTTTCAACGTGTGACTTCAACCGTGCTTACGACTCGCACTCCCATCACCCGCTACTCCCCTCCCTCCCCTCCCGCACTCACCGCCGAATGACTCCTTCGCCAACCCTCTAACCGCCTTTGCTTGGGAATAAAGTGGTCTAATCCTTGCGACAACCAGCTGCGAGCAGCGGCGCAGGGGCCTGCGGTAAACGGCTTGGAAGAGTGTGGTGGGGGTGAAGGGAGGGAGGGAGCTATTTGTTGGTTGTTGACGCTTCGCTCCCAACGGAACACTAAAACAGTGAACCTCCGCCAGACGCACTAAAGTTGTTGATGCCGGACGCGAGCCCTGGTGGAAATGTTTTTCTCGTCCCGCCGCCTGTCCCCTGTCTGCCCACACACTCGCCGAGCACAGATTTCGCTTCGACGACTGACTATCTTGCGTTTGATATGGCGCCTCACTGCAAAATACTTAAACAGAACTAACTGGGTCGTGAACCAAATGCAAACCTTACATTCTTTGTAGCTTACGAAGAATTGTGAAGCATTGCAATAACGAACGACTACCTCTGCTTGGTAATGCATAAACCAATTGCTTGCAAGAATTTTTCGAGCTTACAAAAAGCAATAAGAACAAATTTTTCGTAATAAAAAAAACAAAAACTTCGCAAAGCTGCAAAGAGGTTTAGTCGAGGGGTACATCACTCCGATTCTGGGCGTACACCTACTTTTAGTCGATTTTTTTGGGCCGTGACTTTTTGACTTTTTTTGACTTTTTTTGTACTTTTATTTGACTTTTTTTTTTGACTTTTTGATCAAATTTATTTTACTTTTATGATTTTTTCGCTGCTATATTTTTAAAATAAGGGAGAGTTGTGATTTTTGGGCTAGTAATAAGGTTTTTCCAAGACCTTTTGGTACTATTTGTAGCATGAATCGAATAAGAAGAAAATTCGTCATCAGAGTACACCCCCTAAGTAAGAAAAGCAAGGTATTTTCAGTATTTACGTTTTTTGGTAAAGAAATCCCATGAATTCCGATTATTTTATTTTTCTCACTTCACCCACCACCCACCCCTCTCCCTCTTTAAAAGACAGTGATCTAGGACTTTCTGATACAATCACAATTCCGTAGCTTTTTGGCCTCTTACAGGCAGATATTGCACTCGCATGTTGACTTTTTGTTGACTTTTTCAGTGCCTTTTCTCTGACTTCTCGTCGACTTTTCGTCGACTTCTCGTCGACTTCTCGCTGACTTTCATTGACTTTTTTTGACTTTATTTGACTTTTTTGACTTTTTATTTGACTTTTTGACTTTTTTTGACTTTTCAAATGACTTTTTGACTTTATCTTGACTTTTTTCTTGACTTTTTTAAGCGCGTACACCTACTTTTAAGAGTGGTGTACCCCTCGGGTTTAGTTCATAAGCATTTTCTATGGAGGTGTCCAGCCGGGGCGTGCAACAGACGACACCTGCATGTTTTAGCGTTTAAATTGCGTTCTCCTGTCTGCGCGAAGTGCTCGGCGGTAACTCCCCCGGAACCACCAGCACAGTGCATAGCGCAGCACAAAGTGCCCTAGGATGAATCGCTAATTAAAAGGGACTTTGTAAACAACGCCAGCAACCTCACTCAGTTTCATGGGTGGGTGTTCTTTTTCCTCGCTACGCTCTAAAAGGAGGGAAGCACATTTGCAAAACTTTACACATTTTGTCTCATTTCAAACACAAATTTGCATCCAATTTGGATGTGAATAACTCCAAAAAATATTTGCATCAAAGAGCCCTGGTCTTCGCCCCTCTCGAACAAAATTGTTGTTACACCTATCAAAGTGGAATAATGCTGCTAATCTAGATTGCAAGGTCTTAAGGATCAAAACAACTCTATCTTTCGAAAATAAGGAGGGGAGGGGAAGGGGGGTGGGATTTTTACTTCTGGTAGAGACAGTCTCTAGGGGACTGTCTTAAAAAAATTGGCATATGCTCTTGATAAATAATTTCAACAGTACAGCATTCCAGCGTCTTCAAGCGTGTATTCAGGACAGTTTAATCATACGATGAGTCTTAGACAGTGCAACCCCCCCCCCCCTTTTCCCTCTGCTCTCACTCACTTTCCCTACCTCTTCCGGCCGCCGCTGCCGTTACTTTTTACCACATAATCAAACCCACCACAGCTCCTCGCCTCGGGGCAGCTGCTGCTGCTGC